ACTGTTCGAGGTAGACATAAAACTGATTCTGTTTGATAGATAGGGAAAGAACTAATGTTGACAGAAAAAAGTATGTAATTTTAATATCATGATTTATATCTGTGTATAACAATCAAAAAAAAAAAAATTCTGAATATGGCTGAGCGAAATAAAATATTTTACTATAATAAAAATTTTTACATTAAATAAAAAAATATTTTTTCAGAATAAATTTTTTCCTATTTTTTTTTTAATATCTAACAAGTAATTCTGTATATAGAATAAAAATAAATATGCTGAAAATTTTTAAAAGGCTCCCTTTAGTCATAACCAGCTCATACTGAGTCTAAAAAAAACTTCTGCATATACGGCAGTAAATCAAAAAAATAATCCGCAAAATGCTCAAGGCGTTTTGCCAATTTTCTGTAGTAAAGAATAATTTTTATTTACTTTACGAAGATCTAAAGTACAACCACTCGTACAAGCTATGTTCTATAATCACTACTCAATTACTTTCCAAATGTCATTTACTCTGCTTATTCTAATAGTATTTATTTAATAATATGAATAAACTGAATGTGAACTGTATTCTTTTTTTGGGGTTTTATTTTATTAGGAAAGTTACGAAATTTTAAATAATAAGCACAATGAGAGTAAAAATCGTTCATATTTTCATTTAATATAGATTAAGTAGTAATGGTGTTGTTATGTGCCGACCTAAAGATGCCTTTTATTTATATTGAACTGGAAAATCCGAATCCAGTTAACTTTTTTTATTCAGTAAATATTTTATGTAATGAATAAATAACTTTTATATCTAACATTTATTGTTAGAAATCTTATTTTATCATGCTGCATAATAATTTCATATGAAAATTGCATATTGATATATGATTATCAACTTTTCAAACTTATAGAATAAACCTTCGTTTTATTTATATGATAAACGATAATTTGAAATTAATAGAAAATTTGTTAAAAAAGTCGATGATCTAGTGTGCAACGAATATGAAGGGTATAATTTTATTTAACGAGATAAAGCACGCCACAAAGTGTCATACGAGATGTTGCAAAGTACGAGCTTGCAAAATCGAGCAGAGGAATATAGCCTGCGCGTATCTTCGGTAAGTAAACACAGTACCTTATGAATTTTAAGTAGTGAGGTGTGGAAAAGTATTTTCTCTTTGGAACAGTCTTTTATATAAAATACGAAGTACGTTGAAAGAGAACAATGAAATTTACTAAAGTAAGTTCGTGCAAATTGTTTAATCTATCTTAAACGGCAATTTCAATCCTAAAAATAGAATCATTATCAATATTATCTGATAAAAAATATTAATAATATGTATTAATCACTGAATGAAAACTATCAACTTTATGATACATTATTTTAACTTATGAACATAATTTTAATGATTTTCATTATTATTCTTATAATTCAATTGGAATTAATGTACATATATGTATATGCATACATGAATTATGTAGTTGCATCTAAATACACATAGGAGGTTCGTATAGTCTAAATGAGGATACATGAATCTACACTGAGGAAGGGTAAGTACAATGTAATCTGTCGACGTAACGTTGATGAGTTGCAGTGAGGGGTAAGAAGCAGAGGCATAAACCAACTCCTGTGGGATTCTTAAATGGTGCACTGCCTTCATGGTAACACTAAAGCTATTAACTATATACCTGCCTACTAAATATTAGCTTTCTCAAAGGAATTCTTCTCGTTGTTAGTAGAGTCATTAAAATTTTTTCTAAGTACTATGCTTCGTCAATTTTTGCAAGAAATATTTTTCTTAAGTTATTATCATCATTATGGAGTAATTAGAGACCACTTGGAACCATACTTAGATATATTTTATTATTTTTGACGAAAAAATTTGCCATTATATATCACATATTCTCAAAAATATTGAAAGTACTTGTATTAAAAATAAGTAAGAAAAATATTGATAGAAAAATACATAGGATTACTTGGAATCTATACTTTATTCTCAATCTCTAACTTTTTCAGTAGAGTATAAAAAAAATAACTCCAGATGACATATTTACAGGAGTATTAATGTATCAATATTTAGATTGATTAAATAGGTAACAATTTTCTTTCGGTATAAAAAAGTGTAAAATTTTTCACTCTATCTATAAAATGTCAGAAAAAGATTTATAACCCTGAATAGGTACCAGATCGGAGCGACAGTGAACTCAAAAGTTCAATTAAAAGACTGAGAAGGGATGTAAACGATAAAAAAAATTCAAGAGATTTGATAAAAGTCACAGTGATCTTCTTATCCCTTATAAATGTATGTATGGACGACCTTGCATTCGACACGATCACTGAATTTTTCTTTGGTTCGATTTAGAATTTCCTAGGCATGCGACTCGACATGCGATTGGTGGACCCTGACCACGCCCTACATACATAAGGGGGTAGGTAAGGGTAGTTCTGCTCCCTCAAACACTATCAACCCTCATATGTAGAAGAGCATACGAAAGCATATAATAGTACCCTTGTGTGCATGGCAAATACATATGTACTCCACGACGGACCTCATATAACGAGACACATGGCCAGGGGCGAATAAACAGGGTGGGGCTCCTCTTGAACCTCTACTAAGTTCTTGAGATAAAACGGAATGCAGTATGTCTATGCAATACGAAATGAAGTTTATAATAAATTCATTCTGTATACTCTAAAGTCAGATGTTGATTTAATAATTAAGCGGTAAACTTCCTGAATATAACAAGTATTGTAAATAACTCAGTATTTTCATCAATTTACTCTGACATGAATCTATACTATTGTTTGAAATTTCAAGTTTATATGTAAATCATTATATAAATGCAAAAAGAGCTAATTCCATTTAAGATAATCTATTTATATTGCCTCACTTCTATACTAATTGACAAGAATCATCAAATCATTAATTTATTATATGTAAAAAAATATATATGATTTCAGTAAAAACAATTTTTTTTAGTTTTTTTTTTGAGTAAAAAAATCTAGATTGAGGTAGGTAATATATTAGATTTTGAAATAAAATTCTATTTATGTTTGTAAAAGATTTAGTCCTTTGATCTTGAGTTGGAGTTCTGTAATATTATCAAGAATTGACATATGTAACCTATCTGACTATTTATATAAAAGAGAAAAAGTGATGTGAAATAATTTTTATATGAATAAAGTAAAAATATATTAAACAGACTGCTTATTTGATGAGTTTCATGAAATGAATAAATGATTTTTGTAAAGTAAATAATCAATTGATTTATTTAGAAAAATGAATGTTTTAGAAAGGATCAAATGACTAAATTTAGTAAGCGAATGTTCAAAAATGATATTATTATTTTTTTAGCAAATCTGAAGTTCAAATTACGAAACTACTACTGACAATATTTACCGACATGTGAGGTTTATCGGTAACCTAGACTGGAAGGTTACCATCAGTAAGACTACTTTATCATCACAAAATTTTCTTTTTTATCTACAGCTACTTACTATATTTTTGAAAATTGAATTTATTGATGTTCCAAATTATTTTTTAAGCTAGTTTACCAGGTAAAAATGTAAGTATTTTATAAGTACTCCAAGAAATGCTACACAAAAGTCTAAGACAAAAAATTATAGTGTTTCGAAACATTAAAAGACATACTATAATTATAAACTCACCAATTATGATTTCTTCAATAATCCTTCTATTATAATTAGTAATCCGTAAAAATAGTATTGTTAATGTAATCAAAATTGCACATTCATGCATTTAATTTTACTTGATTTTTTTTTCAAAACTTATTTTCAAATTCACTACACACAATAAATAAATTGACGCAATCCATCATGTTTACATTTTTGACTCTGATTTTTTTCCGAGTATTTTTAATCATGGCTCGACGATTAAGTATCAATTTTATATCATTTGGTATAAATAATAAAACTTGAACTTTACATCATTCAAATTTCTATAAACTTGATTTATTTGGAGTATTTAATGAAAATATCAATAAAAAGCGTGTATGCTTTCATTTTATTATACACCTGTTGAAAGCCCAGCGTCGACTGTCATCACTCCCCTATTGGCTGAAGTAAGCGGGAGAGGGACACGAATAAGTTTGGCGCCACCAATTCTGCTGCTCACTGGCACCCCGTCTACTCAAAAGACACAGTGTAGTTTGGCGGAAAATAACAGCATCAATAGATTGCAAAACATCGCATTAGTTAGAAATTTTTTCTTGTCTTATTGTTTATATATATAAAATTTTAGATCCAGTTATAATTATCAAGCATCTCATTTATTATTATAATTATTTAATCTACAGTTCAATCTATCTAAAAATGTGTTATTGTTGGATTATTAAAAGTATTATTTATTATAACTTTAACCATGAAAATTCTAAGAAGTCAAAATTATAAATGAATTTAATAAATGTGTAATTTTATCTTACTTCGTGTTTAACTTTGACCTTTTACTACCATTAATAAAAAAAGGGCATATTAAAAAGACAATAATCAATCTTTGACTATTGATGAAAAATGAGAAAGCTGTAACTCTAGATGATAAAGATATACATACTTCGCCAATCTCTGAGAAAATTGCAGTATTGACAAACTTGGTATTGAGTACTTGGTAAGTTTATTTCATTTCTGAATAGTTTTTTATCAACGTTCTTCTTGCATTATTATTAAATCTCTTTAACAAGAGCAATTTTTTAATTGATCATGTCTTGTTCGTTTTATTACAATCAAATGATATAAAATAATTAATCACAAAATTCCTATGAATGATTATTTAATAAATCTATCTGTCTTTTCAACTATTAACAGACAGATTCATCCTCAATTTTATTTTTGATATAAATATCTTCATCAACTAATATAATGGAATTTTTTTAGTTTTTATGAATTACATTTATTTTTATAAATGTAATTTATTTCAGATTTCGAAAATTTCGCGCCGATAAACTTTAAATTTTAGTGGTACAAGAATTACTCACGGTGGCGTTAGTGTCGTATTTTGTATCGGGCAGTCAAGGAGCTGTTTGAGCGCTTCAAAACAAGCTCTTTTAGTAAAAATTTTATTCGTTTTTTGACTGAAATGATCGAAGAGCACGACGAAAGGGATACAATATGCGATTCAGTGGTGAGTTATATCAATAATTCATCAAAAACATTGAGTACAATGACCCAAGAAAAGCGACATTTATCAAAATTCACTTCACACATTTTTCTAACCTCAAATTTCAGAACTCGCTTGTAGAAGGATGTCGTTTGCCGGTTCAGATGCATGGTACCGATGATTGGCGTGAGTATTTACACTTTTTTCAATTTTTTAAATTGACTTTTATATTTAAAAAAATTTTTTAAATCAATATATTCGTTTCATAACAATGACTGTAAGACATCCAGCCTCACCACATGAGTATCATTGACACTGGTAGTTTATTTTGATTTTATTTTTTAGAAAATTCTAGAATATTTTGTTGAATATTAAATTAATAACTGCTGTAAATAAAAATAATAATAATACGTAAACTATTATGTTCGTCTTCTAGTTTTTCAGTTTAGAGAACAACTTATTTACTAAGCTCTACACTATAAATTCATAGTGGTTGATTATACATATAATTAATGCTTTTTATACAAGTTTTAATGATTTATGAATTTTTTGTTCTAGCTCTAGCAGAAATAATAAGTGTAAAAGAAGTAAAGGGCACTAAGTATTATTATGTACATTATGTAGATTGTAAGTAAACATCTAAAAAATAACTGTAAAGTCAGTTTTCATGCCATAGTTGTTGCTGATGGTTTGCTTGTTTCTTTTAGTTAATAAGAGATTAGACGAATGGGTATTAGAAGATTCATTAGACACAAGAAAAGTTCAGTATCCGAGGCGAGATGGAACGACGCCAGGAACTGGCGCTGCGACACCAAAAAAACAAGTACCCAGCAGACCTCCTAGTCCAAGTAGTGTTAATAGTGAACCTGTTAATGGTTCCGCTGTATTACAAGCAGCTTTACAAAAAAGAATATCTAGAAAAAGAAAAGGTACCTTTCTTGATAATGAAGATTCTCAAGAAGCTCCTACGCCTGGACAGCCGACAACAGGGCCAAGGCCGACAGGTTCATTAGTTACTCATCATGATGACGTAGTAACACGAATGAAAAATATTGAACTTATTGAACTCGGCAGACATAGGATCAAACCTTGGTATTTCAGTCCTTATCCTCAAGAAATGGTAAATTTACCGTGCATTTACATTTGCGAGTTTTGTTTAAAGTACAGAAAAAGTAGAAAATGTTTAGAAAGACATTTAGCCAAATGTAATTTAAGACATCCGCCTGGCAATGAAATTTATAGAAAAGGATCCATTTCATTCTTCGAAATTGACGGAAGGAAGAACAAAAACTACGCTCAGAATGTCTGCCTCTTAGCCAAATTATTTCTCGACCATAAAACATTATATTATGATACGGATCCATTTCTTTTTTATGTTATGACTGATTTTGATAGCCGTGGCTTCCATATAGTAGGATATTTTTCTAAGGAAAAAGAATCTACTAAAGATTATAATGTGGCTTGTATCCTTACATTACCTCCGTATCAAAGAAAAGGATATGGAAAGTTATTAATTGAATTTTCTTATGAGTTGTCCAAGTTTGAAGGAAAAACAGGATCACCTGAAAAGCCTCTTTCTGATCTTGGTCTTCTTTCTTATCGTAGCTATTGGGCTCATACGATATTAGATATATTACTTAATGTTAAACCTCTAGCAGAAAATGAAAAGCCACAAATTACAATAAATGAGATCTGTGAATTAACTTCAATTAAGAAGGAAGATGTGATATCAACATTACAAAATTTAAATCTCATCAATTATTACAAAGGACAATACATTGTTACACTAAACAGGTGAGTGATAGAAAAAACATTATTACGGGATTTATTTTGACTGCAAATTGTTCTCCAAGACAAATTATTTTCAGAGATATTATTGAACAACATGCACAAGCGATGGAAAAAAGATCTATAAGGATAGACCCCAAATGTCTTCATTGGACGCCAAAAGACTGGAGTGTCAGAGCTAAGTGGTGAATAAAGTGAATCAACTTGAAAATAAAATAAAAAAACTGAAATTAAATAGAAATTAATTGCGTTGTTTCGTATGCTCGATTAAGTGTACGGATGTGTAAATAATAGTTTTTTTTGAGCCATTTGTAGCATTTCAAATAAGTCTATATGTGGCTTAGTTAGAAAAGTGTCCTGTCATTTCGTAATATTGTGAATATTTTGTTCTTTTTGCCAGATATCCAGTCATTATAGACTTATCTGGCATTGGAATAATGCAAATTTATAGCAAATTGCAATGCAATAAGGACTCACGGGTATAGTTAGGATTAATTTTTTAATACAGTGAATTTTTTTTAACTCATCCTTGTAAAATTTTTGCGCTCATCATCAAAAAATTTGTACAGGAAAATATCATTAGGAAATAATAGAATTGTAAATAAATGTGATTTTATATAAGTATTGTCTTATAAAAAAAAAGTTCCTTAACTAAAATAATTTGTTTTTCGGATCGAATCTTATGACTTCAGGCAATAAATAATAACAAAAATTTAGAAGTTGCTTTTTTGATGCATATACGTAATGATAATACGTCGATAGGTACATATATATTTATATTTAACAGTAACATCACAGTGGCTTCATATACAATAAATTATTTTATACTTATGACTCGTTCCGCCAACTTATTTTCATTTTTATTTTCTTAAATTAATAGTGAAGTTATAAATTCGAAAATAGACTGTTTAGTTTAATTATTTTTATTGTTTTTACAATGTCGGAGACAAATAAACTTCATTGTTTATGACTTTTAGTTTTTGCAAATATTCATTAGAATAATGCAGAAGATAACTGATCAGTTGATTAAAGAAATTATTAAATATGTTGTATCTGTATATATATATCTGTATATATATTAATTTTTTATCTAAGAATTACACAAACGATGAAAAACACCGAAAGTGATTGTTCCGACTCAGAAATAAATTTGTTCAACAATAACAATAATAACAGCAACAATATAACAGCGATAGCATGATCAATGGGTATGATGAGTATTAGCATTGGTATTGAATTAAATTAATGTTTCAACATATTCAATTTCATACAGAATTTTTTTATGAAATAAAATTAAAAGATAATTATATTGATTGTAATTATTTTAATATAGTATTAAAATTGTTATTTTTTGGATCAAAATTATCCTTTTAAGACAATTCTTCCATAAACGAGAAGATTAATATGAATTTAAAAAAAATTTTTTTTTATCAAAAATTGTGCAAAATTTAAATGACAGCAGTTTTTTCAGTGATTTAAATAGATAGGTTCAATCGTTAAGTAAATATAGATTTATTTTTAACTTTAAAGAGAAAATTTTTTGCACAGATTCTAATTTAATATTTCATGTTAATATTTATAATTTCGCAGACAAATAGTTTGACAATATTATGCAAAAAATATCGAGTTAATGAATTATAAAAATAGATGACTTTGTGCAAGTATTTTTTATAGAAGAATTGTCTTAGCAATATTTTTGACAGTGGCAAAGACGTGGCTTGTGACTAGTAAAGTAAATATTTTATGAAAAAATGCTCTGTTGTTTGTATTGTAGAATAATTTTTCTTATAATTCTCTGTTACATAATCACAAACCATTTCGATGTCAGTTACAGTCATTTTTAGTTGATATTTTATGTTAAACTTATTCCTCACAATTTGGACGACAGACGGCAATAATCGAACCGATTGATGTCCCCAAGTTGGTTTATTAAGAACAACGTTTCTTATAATAAAATTCTTATTCCAAGATTTTGAATTATCGAACAATATACATGATTTTTTATGAAAACCATGTGAAACACATTTTTTTAGACATCACAAGTATGATAAAATAGACGACGTCAGAGTTATATAGAAGTGTATGATTTCTTTGATGACATTTTTCCATGATTGGTATTTTGTACTAGTATAAACTATATATTTATTTCTTTGACAATATGATCATCCAAGAATTAATGCAAAACTGATTGCTTCAAGATTATTCATAATCTATAATGAACATTTAACGAATTCAAGAAATACGTTTACATTCAGTCACAATGATTCAATAATAAGTATTATTTTCGCTCATGCTTATTGTTAAAAGTAGTTTACAGATTTGTTTGTTTATTATATTTATATATTACGGAAACATGTCTTGAAAATTTACTTTCGTCCAGTCGTTTCTCTGAACAATAAGACACTTATCAATTTTTTTTGCATATTATTGTATATAATTCGTCAGGAAGAAACGAATAACTATTTTACTTGGGATATATTAATAGATACTCTAAATTAGCATTTATTTATATTTAACAATAATATATATGTCATTTTTTAATTTTATCATTCATTAAGAAAATGATTGGCTAAATTGTTTAGCAACAAGTAGCTAAAATAATTTATGCATCTGCCACCTTTATTTATTTTTATTTTTTATAAAAATGTTTTTAATCTTTCAAATTATTCTCATTGGATAGATATGATATTTTATAGCCACTTGCTGGAGTTTTACAATTATTTCTTTCTATGTAGGCAGATATTCCAGTATTTTAACCTTCGTTAACAAGTCTCAGAAATTCACATTATGTTAAAATAGACAGAATTTTCAGTAACTCAAAATCTTTTGTTTCGTTTTTTTTTTTTAAATTTTCTAAATGTTTGTTTATTAAAATATAAAAAATTAGTTTGTTAAATTCAAAATCACGAGTAAAATTTTTTGAATTACAAATTTAACATAATGTAAACTTTTGAGTCCCTACAAAGAAACCCAAGTAATGATGGAATTACAAATATAAATTTATTTTATTATATAATTGTAATCATTATTATCAGTTTTTTATTTGGTTAATTTTACTACTTGACACTTCGAACAAGTTTTATTATAATATATCTGATTACATTTATTCGAAAACAACTGTTCATCGAACTTTTTGGGAGTTTATTGATCGATTTCTTAACTTGAAATCATTGTGTATCATTTACATTCATTTTTAATCAGATTTATTACTTGTGATATTTAACAACAAATGTAGAATATCTCTGTGTATATAAATTGATTATATTACAGTTCGATGCAAACAATATAAAAAAAATTTAACAAAAATTTTATAGATAAATATTCCGTTCGCTTTTTATTTTTTCTAATTTTTTTTTTCTTTATTTTATAATGTTACTCCAGATTTTTGCATCAAACTATCAAAGATATAAAATCTACGATAGAAAACAGAACAGATTTTAGATATTATTACTTACATAATCAGACATTTAATATCAACGGCTTATCAATCATTATTAATATGAATATGTTTGTAAATATTCTTTTATGCAATGCATCAATATATCAGGTAACATAATTATAATTACTTTATTATTATTCTATTATTATTATATATAATCATGATCATTAATTAGTTATTTATGGCATCAAATATTTCATCATTTATCCATTCGCGTTTCATTCACAACGTCTAAATAGGTATTTTATTTATATTACCCATCAATTTATACCTTATACTATAGTCATTTACAATATAAGAAATATGATTTTATAATACAGATTGTCATTTTTGGCATTCACCGGTTTTCACGTCAGTTTCTTCATAATACCAACTTCTAAATCTTTTCTCTGTGTTAGAAAAATTTATTCACCCTATAAAATAAATAACAAGAATGAAAATAGAGTAAAATAAAACGTTTGTCACATTGATATACAATTAAAAAGTGAATTAGGGTTCTACTGTTTATAAATAATAAATGATAAAATATATAAACTACAAATGTACATTAGTATTTTCAACGACAATTTGATGTATTATAAACAGATCTGACATGGTAAAGGGAGATACAGTCATTTTATAAAATATAACACTAGGATTAAAAAACATTCATTTCAGGCCTTCTATCTAATTTTGTCGCACCTACTCTATTATTTTTTCGCGAGGAAAACAACCGATATGTTTAATGTGCGTTCGGCATTAGAATTAATTTGATTGATAAAGTTATATTGTTCAAAGTTTCCTCTTCTTTGGTTTCAAATCTAAGGGATACGGTTATGTATCAAAGCTTTCTTGATTCTGTACCTTTCTTTGGTAATCTTCGATGCAAGCATCCATGTTGCGGTAAATCCCAGAATTTGCCTGAAGCATCAAAGTATCTAAAATTCTTTCGTTTTTAATTGCTTTTGATGGTAAGACGATCTGAAAATAATAAAAAGTGAATTCAATTTATTGAATCGATTAAGAAAAATAATCTTGAAAGATTATTTGTAAACTATTAGTTTGAAAGCTCTTTTTTTAAATATTATAGACATATGATAACATTGAATATACTCAACTGTAACTAAAAAATTAAAGCGCCAAGAAAAAATAAAGTTGAATTTTATTAATATTTTAATACATATCATCTATCACAGAATTGTGTTATCGACATTTTTCCCTTAGTCAAGTAAAATTCGTTTATTTTCTTCTAAAACAATAATGAAAAAAAAATTCACATCAGCTTTTCTTGTTATTTTTCGCTGTTTACTCTGGGTTGTTTTATTCCATAAACTCTGTATTTTTAACTACAAAAATACTGAAAATTTCCATATTCAAATATATGTTACGCAAGAGCTTTCAAACAACAATTATTATTTACTATTTACCAAATGATTAAAATTACTCACCCTAATCAATTCTTGTGGTGTAATTCGATATAATTTGAGGTCTTTACTAAGTCTTTCCATTATACATTTGAATTCATGTTTGGCGTCAGCTTTATTAGGCTTATTCTTGATTCTGTGCTTTGCCCAGTTGAGCATCGCCTCAAATTTCTTGATTTCTCCAACCTCAAGTCCTCGACACATGATAGTTTGAACCATACTCTCACTCAAAGTCAGAAAATGCGGGCTTTGAAACAGTTGATAGGCCCGGGTCTCAATAAACGCAAGGATCATATTAACAAGTTCTGAAGCTGATGTATAGCGCCAATAATAATTTTCTAAAGCACAAAGCATCACACAAACTATCTCGATTCGTAAAAATTGTTTTGCATGATGAAAACATGCTTGCAATAGATCTGGTAGGTCGTAATGCTCAGCAGCACATATCAACCCAGGAATATTGCTGCATGTGAGGGGACAAGAGCCAGTGTGTAAATAGTCCAAAAGAATACCAAAAGTTTCTGGGTCAAATTCGATTATGTCGAACTATAAAACAAAATAAAAATGTTTGTTAGTTAAAGTTAGCTATTATTATTACTTATAAAAAATGATTTATTTCTACTGTTAATTTAAAAATAAGAAGTTAAAGCTTAATAGAAGTAGAGAAGCTGAATCAGAATAAAAGATTACCTGAAATTATATTTAAAAATTCAAATGAAAGGTAATAAATGAAAGTTATTCTTACTCTCATTGTTGAATAAATTTCTTATGAAAATATTTTGAATAAAACATTAATAAGTACCTCTGTTTGTGCAAGTTTTGCTCTATCCACTTTCTGAGCATCAGCACAAACACTCAGCCTTGGTACTGCTAATGCCTGAGCACTTTTATCCTTATCCTTTGAATCTTTATCTAAAAAACAATCTTTATTTGTCGTACTTTATAACATAAATTTTTTCAAGCCACACATGCCTAAAGCTGATAAAAGCAGATAATATTTATCAATTGCTTACTACTGCAGTCTTGAGAGCTGGTCCATCGTTTTCGATCTTCAACTGACAGAGTATTACTTCCATGTTTTCTTATACTCCTTCCCCATCCGGCAGTGATAGTTCCAAGTCTTGAAAATGCTCTTTTAACCATTGGTGAAGAAGGTACGCTTTTTGGCCTAGATAAATATGGGGTTTATTAAAGAATAATATTTTCATTTATTACTGAGTATTTTTTGAACTTAAAATAATAGCACTTTAATTGTCTATCCTTTCTTATTTATATTTTAGAATAATATTTAATAGCACTTAATATAATACAACAGAATAAATTATTAATTATGTATAGTAATTGAAAATATTTTTCAAATATGCATGATAAGCAAACTATCTAACATCTTGGAGTAAAATTTTCTATAAAAAAATTCTTATCATGACGTCAACAAGAAAAAAGTATCGAAAAATATTTTAAAAATATATCTTCTCAGTTTTTGTAAATAACAATTTTTCAAATTCTTGGAGATTACTTTTTCATACTTTTTTATTTATCCATTTTAATTTAATAATATCGGAAAAGTATGAAAGCAAAGAAATAAATTTCTATTAGAACAAACTGATAAATAAAAGAATTGAATTTCTTATAGTATACCTAGGGCTTTCAATATCAGGAACTTGAAGAAAGTTTGAGCTTTTTGGTTTTTGTGGACTAGTAAGTAAAGTTGGCGCCGGTCTTGCTAATAATTCTGCTACTGGAACTTGCGGACTGCCAAATCCCGTCTGAATTCCGTATAACATTTCTTGGAACACTCTAAAAAGATTCCAATTAAATTAATATATCGTCAAAGATAAATAGTAAATCCAGATAGTTTATTTTTACCAACTATAATTTAATTACCTGCTTCTTACTCCGAGAATAGCACGAACCCCGATGAATCTTACTTTCTGTTTCTGTTGGCCCGGAACCAAAAATGCTACATCAAATAAATTTGAATGAAGTTCAATATTAGCAGAATTATTAAGAAAAACTTGTGTAAAGTCTTTTGCTAGTTGATCATAGTCTTCAAATTGATCCCTGACTGAATCTAAAAGAGGTGATGATGGTCTCATGTGACCAATTGGTCTCCAAGAGCCTCTTCTGTACGGCTTAGGAATTTGTCCAGTTTCTGCATGATTTTGAAGGTTTGCTACAATATCTTCCAACATTTGACTTCTCGTTCTCTCTTGCATTCTTGCAAATTTAGGTGCAGAATAACTTGCTCGTTCTCCATTCACTATTTTTGTAAGGAGCCATTCACGAAACATAGGGCCTAGAAAAATATTTGGATTTAATAAAAATTATAAAAAAAAATCAATTTATTATTCCATTTTTCAGATGAAAAATTTCATTAACATATTAATTTATAAAATGAAAATAAATGAAGATAAATTTGTTATATCATCATAACAAAATAATTCAATAAATTAAATTATAGAAGGATTGTTTTTGTGATAGAAGCTAAATAATCAATCAATTTCACAACAGTTACGTGAAATTGTATTTCAATGTCAAAAATAGTTGAATTTAATTCATCAATGAGGCATTCAAATGCAACCTAAATATTCTTGTTCGTTTCAACCGTAAGTACATGTCAACAACAGTCAAAGGGCCATCAATATATTTATTTGTACATTGAAATACTCACATCTATGACAAATTAATTTACATTTGCCTTTAGCTATCAATAACTGTTTTTTATTTTCTTAAAACAAAGATTACGAATGATCTAAGAAATTTATATAATTTGTTCTCTTGAAATAATGTGACTACTCTCGTTTAGATAATAGTTATGTCTATTGTATTTACGAAAAAAATTAAATACAACAGAACCTTTTTTTGTGTAGATTTTTCAAATTTACCTTTTTCAAAAACACTTTGCTCCCATAAATAAGGCTTGTATGCTCCTACTTCATCTCTCGTGACAACTGATACTTCATACCTTGTAATTTTTCTTTTAATTCTTGGACTCACTCGAACAATGATAAATGTGTGAAGAAAGTGAGATTTCATGCATGCTGGACTAAATTGAGTATTATCCGCCTCAAGAAATACTACGCAGACTATATCGTTACCTATATGTCTTTTTCGTTGCAACTGAAATATTTTTATTTAAAGAAGTTAATAGAATTTTCCATAAATAAATAAATTAATTAATTTAAAAAAATGTAATTGGTATACCTTCTGAGTATCATGTTCTTCATAAGGTAAAAGTGTAGAAACGTGAAACATGATTTCAATTCCTCGCCAGTTAGTGTAGACAGAATAAAGACCAGTAAGGTCATGAACAGTATCAAGACCACCTTTGTATTTGTCAAAGCCTTTGAGACGTACTTTGTCGCCAAGAATCTGTAGAAATTCTTCAAAGAGTGGAGAGTTATCATTGTTATTAAGAATCTCTTCTTCATCAAACTGGTTTTCTTGAACGTACATGACTCCAACTTTCAATTCCGACTTGATGAATACTTGGTCCAACTTGAGAAGCTCTTCTGGAGTATCCGGTAACTGACCCAGAGTCAATGGTGGATTGATGTTGACCTCTTTTCCAAGACTCTTGACAACTTCTTCACGATTGTATCTAGAAATTGAATAATTTTACTAAGGAAATAGACTCTCGAGTAATTTAACTCGTAAATTAAAAAGATCTAGCAAGAAGTATGTGGAATGAGATTTTTATTGTATCAAATAGGAGTTTAAAAATATTTTAATGACAAAATATTAGTCAACGAAGTTTGCTCATTTAACTTCTTATCATTAGAAGACTTATTTTTTTTTTTCATTTTTTTTCTCTTGACTTTGAATCTAATTCTGAAGAGTCTTACTTTATTTTCATACTTTCAATATTTATGAAATTAAATGCATTACTTTCTCCTTACCTATCAGCAAAAACACAGCTGGCAGGAATAAGTCCATGAACAGTGTAACTTATTGCTCGAACAAGTATCCTAAACTGATCTCTACCACTTATTGTCTCTTGTTTGATACTCAAAATAACTGGTCCTAAATCTTCATCATTAGTAAAGTAATTCCAATGTTCTGTGCCATAAAAATATTTTTCGTAAGTTTCTTGTTCAACGGAAGTAAGTTCGAAACCTTGATTTTTTTCCCATTGTTCTTCAATAGTTGTTTTCTTTCTAGGAACATCTTCATCATCCAACTCATTTTCTTCAAATAGACAAAAGTCCCTTCTTTGTTTCATAATCGATATTTCCTTCTCATCTACTTGCTCAGGATCCGTAACATCCCGATCGCTCTCACTCTCGTCCCAAATTTTGTCTGAAGCAATTTGCTGCCTTGCACATTCAATCCAATAACCGGGAGTTGGGATTAGATTATGTGGAAACTCTGAACAGAATTCATCTATAAAATATTAGAAAAATTACAATTATTTATTAACTTTTAATCAAAATGAGTGAATGTTTGTTTACACATAAGAAACAAATCACTTTGTTTATTATACTATATTTTTATTTATTTTAATGGATCATTTTTCTAGAGATATTTATGAGGTTTTATTATTAAGCTAAATAAACCTCTATTTCATCCATGACAGATACATTTTTTTCTTTATGTTTGTTGAAAAAGCTTTTCATGTAACTGTTATAGTAATTAGTATCATCATTATTTCTTTATTACTAGAAAATTTAAATAAATTCCAAGATATATGATAAAAAAACATTTTCTTCAACAAAAAGTATGCCAAGCTCATACAATATTTTTTAATTAAACATTATATTCAATAAATTTGTTGATTAAAGTAATTTTGTGTTAAATATACATTTTTCTTCATTATAAAGCAGCAATTAATAAAGATAGAATTTTACAAAAATTTGCTGCAGAAATTCATGAAAATAACATAAATTCTGTCTCCTTTTTTTAAAGTTATTAATCAGTAATTAATATAAGAATTTGATTTAGAGATATTGTTATCACTAGATTGAACAATCTACACTTCTTCTACACTTACAATTAGAAAACTTCAGAACCTCTAGAGTGTATGAAGAAAGAGTTTCTTTGAAGTATTTCTAAGATGGGCTTCATAAATTCATGCAAGCCTTAATTCATATGCTTCACAAACACTTAAAAACATGTTTCGTCAAAAGTAGTAGCATCCACTCATCCCACTCTGTTAAGTAATTCATCTTCTTCTTCAAAATGTGTTGCTTTTAATCATGGTCGAGTCACTGTAAGGTAGAACACCAAGCTGGTAGTACAGGGCTCGGTATTCGAACTTAGAGTGAACCGCCCATGACTTTATCCATTATCCCATTCAACCCTTTGTTCTTATTTGGCAGATTAATCACTCAAATTAATGTTTATTGATGCTGGTAGGAAGTTAGAAACTTGCAAATTACATTAGTTTATAAGAAAAAAGAGTTCTAAGCTCCAGTAAAAAGGAGAAACTTATTGAATAATTGTGATATACAAATGGACTTCTTTCTATACTTGTTACAATTTTCGACCTTGCTTTATGACTCTATAGTACAACCACCTGTGGCACGTTGTCTCTGTCCTTCTTTCGAGCACACTTATACGTGTCTTTAGCCTCAGGTATGTATTTTGCTCTTCTTCAGAGCATCTAACAATATTTTAATGCTGAAGTTCATTGAAAAAAGAGATAAGAGGGAAAGTAGTTGAACAAAGTAATAATTTCATTTACCAGAGCATGCTTGAGGTGGAAGTGGAAATATTAATGTTGTTGAGGATTTTCTTCTAGCAACTGCGCAGCCTAAACTTTGGGGCTTAAAACTGCGCAACTGCTGCATAAAATCAGAACACTCCATCAGAGCAACGTCTGCAAAGTGCAGATCGCAAAGTATTTGATTTTTGAATCTGTAATTATAAGAAAAAGTAATAAGTTATGATAAACACATCAATGGATAGACATAAAATGAATAATTATTTAAAATAGCAAATTTTAGATTTTTTTTATCGATCAGACTTTACTTTAATAGATGAAAAATATTTCAGTGTATTTTAATTTTTTGTTTTTTTTTTTTGCAATTTTAACAATTTGTTCATTTTCTGGGTGATGTTTATATGCTAGTTTACTCGCCCTATCAAATTGTTAAATGTAATATGAAATTGTTTTTCTTACTTTTTAATAAAAGTGAAAAATTCCAACGTAGCTTAATATTAAAATTTAAAAATTTAATTATAATACTCATTGTATAATGGAACTCTTTATAAAAGTATAAACTGTTGATTGAAGTTTTAATAAAACTGTTATTGAAGCTCGAATTACTTTTTTTAATCAGATTTTTTTTTCATCTTGGAGATTGGCGTTGACACAATTATTGAATAAAGTTATAATGGATTTATTAATCAAGTAAAACCCGATGATACCACAACACAAATTTGTAATTTCATAAACAAAATTAATTGATTAACAGAGAACATAGGTATGTCATCAAAGTGTTTACTTACCGTCTCGCTCTCTTTTGATTAGGTCCCGTGAGATTGAGGCTACAGCTGTTACATCTCAGGCACTCCTCATGATAGTGATTGTTGTCGTAAGGCGGTGACGGTTCTTAGCAGCGTTAAACAGAATAAAATTTCATTGAAAGCTAGTAGAATGACTTGTAAAAAATACAACTAATTCGTTATCTAATAATGAATTTATTCTTCAAATAATAAATTAATTTTATTGAAGTTGACATTTGTCACTTTATTTATTTTTAATTTGTTTCTATTTTATCTAACTAAATATTTCAAGACTTGTCAGTATTTTATGGTATACAGTTCAATAAAATCCCCGAAAATCTTCGATTTTTATAAATGGATTGTGAGAATTATACTTTAGGGTGAACTTTTATTTTTTTCCTTTGCCTTATCCTTTAATTCCACGCCAACTTGAAAAGTCTATAGATGAGATTCCAGCACGTGCGGTTAGGAATTTCTATATGAGGGGAAATATATATACGTGTCCAAGTAATATAGGTATTTCTTTAAGTTTACGATTATTGAGACACGACAATTAATCATCATCAAAAATGGAAATACACAAAATTCCTCTCCTGATTATTTTTTATTTTTTATAAAAATAATTCAACCATCGCTTTTTTCACTAACATTAATAAATGCTATGAATTCAAAAATATCTAACACCGAAAATAAAATTTTTCAGTCAATTTTCATGAATAATAAATTTCATTACGATAAGTTCTTAGAAAGCAGTGATGAAAGTCATTGAATATTCAAACGTCGGTGAGCTGCATTATATATATTTAAAAATAATGACCAATAAAATATTAAATTAACTAATTAAATTAATAATATTTTATCATTGAAATATTTATTTAAACTGCTGATTTAAAAACTACATCTACTTGAAATTTATTTTTTTTTTATCAGATGCAAAAAAAAACATTTGTTTTACATGAGTAAAAAAAGAAATCGACTTGTCTAGCATCTGTCAATAAAGATCATAATAATAACGTGACAATTGAATATGTATTTAAGAGAATACACCCATTAAGTGATTAGACAGATGTCAATGGAAATTTGAGTTATAGTGGAACGGTAATTTTCTCTCATTGAGTAGATAAAATCAGCGTACAGTCAGACGTTTGTCAATGGAAACTATGATGAAAATAAAAACCTTTTTTCCACATCCAATTAATCATAATACCTATAATAATCACATCTAGACTGTACTCAATCATACCTTTCACTTGGAACGAGCGATAAAATTATGATTCCCACGATATAGAGTGATGATCAAATGAGAAGCACGTGGCCTTGGGGCGTGGATCGATCTTTTTAATATTTTACATTTATCTAATATTTTCTTTACAATCTACAAGTGCAGCTAATATTTAATAGTATAGTTATGTGTTTCTTCTTGATTCAATATTTTAGCGAATTGTTTGTCTTTGAAAAAGGTAGAGTTTATGTAAGCAAAAAATGAAAATAATTGCGAGTCACACAATTAAACTTTTCATTAGGTTTTCGCACATGTTCTTTGATCCACTTATTTCTTTACTTCTTCATGACTTTATTCATTTTTTTACTCACTAAATAAATAATTCAACTAAATGTTCCTTTATGAAATCAACGATGGAAGAACATAATTAAAGAACACAGTGCATAGGATTTTTTATTGTGGATGACTTGTACTCTCGTTTAGCAAACTATACTACTTCACATAATACTCCTAGATCACAACAATCTGTTGGAGTGCTCTTTATAGGCCAATAAAATCACATTTCATTTTTAGTTATGGGTGCAGCGAAGTAACAGCAGGACAATCAATGAAATCTTCAGGAAGGACACCACCCACCGCGTGGCTTAATGAAAAATCGAAGTGTCACTCCACTAGCCAAAGCTTTCAATACAAGATAAGTCACAATCCAGTTACCCATTGCTTCAAGTTTTATTAATCATCATTAAATACCATAAGACTTTACGACACCTAATACTAACATTCGTTGAATCTTTTCATTTTATTTCGTTATTTATTATTAATACTGTAATTGATAGTTATTTACATTTTAATATTATAAAGCAGTGGGTTTTTGGTGAATTAAAAAAAAATGCTAGATCATTTACTCATTTTTGCTCCGAAATCGATTCAGTTCAACTACCGTAAATCAATCTCTTCAGATCATTTTCACTTTCTCTTCACTATTGTGTTTCTTATCACAATCAATCTCGTTTTGAGTGATAAACTTTGTCTTTACCAACGCACACCACGTGTATATCATTCTTGACAGTTTTTATACATTTATTAAAACTACCCTTAATTACATAGTAATATTTAATACATTTTTTTGACAACTTGTGAAAATCAACAAATATTTACTTAAAATTTCCGTCTGTGACTTGCTCTCGAGTGTTATCAAGAAAGCACACTGAGAGATTTGTTGAAAATAAATGATAGAATAGTTGACTGTTTTCAGGTATACGACTATCATGCACCCCAACGTTATTCTCTGAGAACTAAAATATCCACCTACGCGCACGCGTTACTGTCTACTTGAACAAACAGTCGAGTATCTACGAAAACGAGCTTTGATGCGCTTGCGAGGATCCTTAATGGACTATTGGATCAAAAGAGAAGAGCGTGCATAGATAATAAGTTCTATAAATTATCCCCGGGAGATTTAAATCGACTCTTTAACTTACCGGTTTGGGTACTACTGTCAAAGAAAGTACTTGAAGTTTCGACAGTCATTGATGCAAAAGTTCCATCAGTTATTTGAGCTGAACTATCTCTTCGTCCTCTGTAGCGTTGGACCTTTTTAAGAACAAGAAAATTTATTTTCTTATAATTTTTTATACTTATATGGACTTAAATATCTTTATATATTTATAATATTTCCATAACTCTGTCATAAATTTTACCTTTGTATTTTAATAGCGTTTGAGAAAATTTGAATTTTAAATTTAAAGTATAAAAAAAGTAAATATATTATTCGTTTTAAAAGAGAATGATCTAACCATTATGAAATAATTGATGGAAAAATGCTTCTTTTTAGTGAATTTTTTTAAAAAATGTTTTTCAATTAATTCACAGCATTATCGAATTTTTAATAATAAAATGATAATTGTTATGAAACCGAATTCAAATTTCGATTATCATTGATAACAGAGTTATGTAAACTATTAATCAATTTTTAATTCAATCATCAGATAATCTTTCGACCTACTTGTCGAAATTAATTAACATTAAATTAGTTTGTTACAATATTCAAGGTTTTGATTAGAAAAGTATTTAATCAGAAAATTATTCTCATTGCAAAGCCTTGAATTTATCAGCTAATTTCTGGTAGATTTTAACTATAATAAAACAGTACAATAATCTGACTATACGTATACTTTATCTAATAGAAGTTTTTTTGAAGGAAAAAATTTATTTTCTGAAGATAAAAAATCTTGAAGAATTCAAAGAACATTTCACCACTCTGTTGAAAATTCGCCGAATCCATAAATCAAAACTTGCATAAACTCACCGTATCATCACTTTGCGAACTTTGCCGTCGAAAATTTCGACATCTGATCATTTCTTCAGTCGTACTTTGTCTTCTAAATCCTCGAGCAATAAAAATTTCTTCAGTTGTTGATTGTCTTCTGATAGTTGGTGCATGTTGGATACTCCCTAATCCACGTGCACAAGGACTTGGATCCCTGGATGAGCACGTTGAACTGTCAGGAGATCTGCGAAAATATTCATCATCATAAACTCGATCGATAATAATTAATGTGATTCTATTCTTTTACATTTGAATAGAAGCACTGATAAAAAGTGACAGAGAAGCTTTTCAATAATATACCTCGCTGGGCGTCCAGCAATTGAGGTAGACTGTCTTCGAAGCCTCGACGGCCTTCGTTGCCTGATAGGGCTGATATCTCTTTTATCAGCAGATCTATCAGGGCTCAAATGACTTTTTGAATCCCGTCTTCTTGGATGAGATGCAGAGTCTGGGCTTAAAGAATCTCTTCGAGCTTTTCGACCTTAAAATACAAATAAAAATGATTAATTTTTATTCCATATAAAAATCATTATGAAATGACTAAGATATTTTCCTACTATAGTTTGATCTAAAAATGAGTCAGAAAAAGTATCAAACAATTTTTTTGATCTCTTTCAATCAACTCTATTGTTGTTTCCATATAGGATTACTTTGTGATATCGTTATTCAATTTTCCATGACATTTTACAATGAAAAAAAGTGCTGTTAGGACTCTTTTGAAAATTTTAATCGATTATTGATTAAAGGTATGAACAAAAACAATAGTATTTGTTGTTAGATACTTTGAAAGCTACCGAGAAATTATTTCGAATCAATTGATTACACAAAGTAGAGTACTTTTTACAAAATCGATACTAATTCTAAGACTATACAGCTATTACGATTGTTTTCATCTTTTAATGAATTTCAATTCAAACTATTATTTAAATTCTTTTTTTTTTACATTGAAAAGAGCAAAAACAAAACAATATCTTGACTTCTGTCAAATTTACTGAATTACTTCCATTGACTTATATAAAAAAAGTGTTATAGGAAATTAATTTTAATTTCTATGTATAATATTAAAATAACGGTTATTCTTTCCACAGATATGAAAAAACAACTTTGACATAAATATTTAATAAAAATCTTTTCTTCGCATTCATTATTTAGCTAAGATTAATTTAATATATTAATTAAATATTAACAATACTTTTATTGACAATTACTGACTTGTTCCTTTTAGCAAAAGCTCAATAACAAACAATTGAATTATTCTTTAATTGCATTGAAGCATTAAAGTTACTCCAAAAAGAGGAAAATTATTTCACAAGGCAATTATCGTTTTGATAACAACTTCAATTATAATTTATATTCATTTCAATTAAAATTTTTGTTATTTACAATAATAAAGATAGTTTTTTTTTCTACCGACTCAATATATTGAAGTGTACATTAATTTAATGAATAATCCGTCAGTAAAAATTAAAATAAATTATTCAAATGAAAGAATAATAAAATATTGAAAATCTGTTATTGAATGCTTTTTACTTAATGATTAACTCATAAACTATAAGTTATAATCATATTAAACACCTCCATCATCAGGATCAGGTGATAAAGTGGGTTGACTTCCTCGTCTTCCTGATGGAGATTCATCAATAGTTGCCGCTTGACGTGTTAACCGTGATAATTTGCTTGATGAGACTTCTTTTCCTTTACCATAATAACATTGAGTAGTTGAATCTCTTCGATTACTCATCGCTAGACTTGGATGTGAAGGAGCATTATTTATATTCGGTGAACCAACAGGACTCGAACTCCCAGATGTTGAGGTGCCAGGTAGTGGAAGATTATTTGAAGTGACTGGAGATATTGCAGGCGGAGTTGTAGAAGACATTACAATTGTTGGAGTATATGCATTCGGTTCTAATGAATAACTCTTGTTAGTTTCTGTTGATGAGGTCTTCATATCAACTACTGTACATTTAGCATCAACTCCAGTAGTTTTTGTTTCAACTGCCAAGTACATTCTCGAATCTGTTTTCTCTGATATACTTTTCTGTGCCTCCAGATGTTCTCTGCAAAGACAATATTGTTTGAGTTTTTTTTTTCTAGTATTAAAAATATAGCTTCGTTATCTTAAAATTATTTCTTCTAGTGAATTTACCATTTATACAACAAACAGTTTTCTTCCAAGAGTTTTAGTGTTTATATTTATTTACTTTTATTTTATTTAATAGATATTGAATCAGACATTTTGTTATTAATTTTTAAAATAACTTATTGGAAAATTTAAATGTTGTAGTTCCGATATAAAACTTTTGTACTCGTTTGTATCTACATTCAGTAAACAGAATATTTGTTCTACTTTGAAATTTCAATTCTTTATATAAACTTTTTTAAACACAACAGGATATTGATGAATCCCTACATTGCTGGCAGAATAAATTTATTTTTATTACTAACATTAGTGATTGAATGATTTATAAATAAATAAATAAATGAAATCATGAAATTACTTATTTATAAATTTTATAAAATAAAATTCAAAAGAATTTACTATTTTGTTTCTAAATACTCATACTTTTCTAAACAAGGTCGTTGGAGAATTAAAATACAATTAAGTAAATGAACATAGCATCATAGCGATTTTAAATTTATTTCCTTCGACACAACGTGATTATTCATGGAAAATAAACTTTCCTTCTTTACTTTTTTTAACGTTGAAATAACAAAAACACTTTAAATAAATATTATATTTTTAACTATAATCATAATTCTTCATAAACTATGAACTGAATCATCTCCTTAATGAGGATTTTGTTGTGCAAACGCTTAATTAATTTAAATCGATTCCTTTGAACGTATACGTATACTCATTTGATCGAAAAGCTTAACTTATTAACAACTGAAAGTTATTATTTCTCGAGAAACTTATATCATTACTTATGACCTAATATTATATTAATTTTCCTCATATATATATATCTATGACATTAGTTATAAATTAACCAGCTTTTTGCAACATCGAATCCATCAAATCCCGGAAACAAACATCCTACTCGGCTAGTATCAACCCATGCCAAGATTATTCAAGATTAGCTAGCTAGGATTAGTTACAAGGTAGCATTGAAATGCTTCGGTTAACCATCTGTGTCAATTGCCTATATTACCTCTACTATTCCACTATAGTACATGGATTTCGAATTTACTAATGAGGTTACAAATTGCTCATCTTCCTTCATTGCTTTATCAGACCGACCAAGTGTAAATAGATATGGTCAGCATTACAAATTAATCTATTACTACAGATACGTTATATATAATATATTGACTAAATTCTATTGATGCTGATATCATATATTTCAAGACATAGAGTTGTATTGGTAATGAGATATAAAAGTAGCATACTTTTAAAAATTAACAATTAAAGTCAAATATACAAATTGACGTGATTTGATTTGAATTGAATTGAAAAAATCTGAAATTTTATTATATCATGGAAGAAACTAGAGAGTATGTATAAATTAAATTCATTATGTTTACCTGACAGCAGCGGATGCTGCACTATCTGTGCTCGAAGCGCTCGGCCTCTGATCACTTCTATAATATTTAGTTGGAGTAATGGCACCAACGTCAACAGAAATTTGAGATTGTTGTGATTGTTTACGTCGATGATGACGGCATTGATGTTTACGTTCACCCATTCCACCCATCACCGAATCTCTTCGCGACCTTGCACTTTCTCCTGATCCTCTTCTTGAATATCTAGATTCACTCGACCCTGAAAAATATTATTTTATTATCAACTTTTTCTATAACATCTACTTAAATATTTCTTTTTCTAGTTACAATAAATGATCTCTCTTGTTGATAGTAGACATATGTAAATTGAATTGTTGGACAAATACAGATGCTGAACTAACTTGAATTAATAGTGCATTTCATAGTCAAACATGTTTTCAAATTAAAAGGATAACATCCTCATAGGTAGTTGGCTATAACTCTATAGTTGATCAATATCAAATTATTCGTGGAATAATCAGCAGGATTCAATAGCCAAGACATCATTCTATGTGAATGCATGTAATAACATGATACAGTGTCGTTATATCAAGCCATCATCATGCTTTGGTCAACCATGTTTAATTAGGCCAAATATCAACAAAATAGTTAAGTTTTTATGATTGCTTTTTCTAGAATTATATTAATAAATAATTTGCTCAATAAATTCTTTTAATTTATTTTTCCTATGCCACATTAAAAAAAAAGTTTTTAATTAAAAATTGATTAAATTATGTGGTAAAGAATCATTAAAAAATTGATATCGATATTGAAAGATAAAGGAAGAATTTGTATTTTATCTGAATAATCTATTCATACATGGATATATTTTGATCGGAAAATAAAGTATAATCGACACTGAATGAGCTCTAAAAAGATATTAGTTGAACCGATATTAACTGATATGCACATGTACCCATACGTATACTTGATTGTTATAAATATAGATTGTATTTGTTCTCTGAATATATTGATAAGAGTTGGAGAGTGGGCAGATTGTCCTATATTTCTATGCATTTTCCACTCATCTCACTACTGCATATAAAGCATCTAGGCAGTTACGACCTCTCACATTTTCTCATGAATGAAAATTTGTTTTATAGTGGAAGTGTTGTGGGTGTTTTTTGATGCCTCATAATAATCAGTCTCAAAATGCAAATTTCTCAATCTGTCATTGAAATTATTTTATTAAACTTCTTCATTAATTCTAATGAAACAATTTAAATGTAAAATTTTATATTTCTTATAAGCATATAAATATTTTCAAAATTAAATAAATTATAAGCTTTCATCAAACCCTTATACAAAATGTTGAATAAAGCAAGAAAATTCATATACCATCTATTTTCCAGTTTACTACAAGAAAGTTGTTTGAATCTTTTCTTCCATTCAATTAAGTTTTCAAATCGAATGATCTCATCTAAATTTAATACATGCATGTTTTCAAATAAATAATTTTTTCATCATTAATTTAACTCATAAGAAAATTTTATACTCATAAATTTATCAAACGTTCATTTTTTATCTAATTATTCCATTATGTAAATAAGGAAAAAAGTATGAATTGAGTGAGTTGACTTATAATCTTAGACATTGAAATATTACTTAGTAGCGAACCCAAATTTAAACGTCATTGTGAACTTGTATATGGTATGTACTTGATAAACACATATTCTATCTTGAAATTCATTGTTATATTTTACTCGATTATCAAATGAATTTGAAGTCTTTTTAATATTACCGCCACGTATATTTAGCCCCTTTCAACGTACTATTTTGTTCGAAATTGTTTATTGTTAACAAACTTTATATTATTATTATTTCCATTATAGCAGAAAGTAAACAAATTTACACTAATTTAGCTAACTAGCTGAGGTTTTAATTAGTACAAATAAAAAATATTTTCTTTGTTCTGTTTTTCGAGAAATACAAAAAAAATTGATATTAAAATTTTCCCTCAAATTATTTAGACAATTTTAATTAGCTGTTCCAGAAAGACTAGCTATGTTATGTCGAGCTTATCTTCCTAGAGTTTCCTTATGTACCATAAACATCAACAACTTGTTGCCATTATTTTCTTAAAATTAGATACGATATTAATTAAAACTATCTGATTCTAATCTCATCTTGTTCTTATTTCTAGAAAATTTCTGATGAGATGGCAAACTTAGATTCTACACAATCCAATAATTTAGATAAACACAAAAGTTACCTCTCCGTGGTGTGGGTGATATAACAGTAGGTGGTGCTTGTGGTTGAAGGATTTCTCGTCTGCTCCATAATTTAGCAATGTCGTTTTTGAAATCACTGATGGTTGAATCTCTTCGGGACTTACTAGACGTTGAACTTTTAATTCCACTGTCAACTGAGCTTTCACGTCGTTTTCTAAGACTCATTCCATGACCTGAATCAGTTGTTTGACGCGGCCAAGGTAAAGACTTAGCCATGTCAGCAAGTGTTTCGCGACGACAAAGCTTGTTGCCGGTTTTATTTTTATTTGAACCACCACCGCTACCCCATTCTCTTAAAATATCTGCAAGACTCGATCGACGTCGACGATTGTGCGTTGGAGATGACTCTTGTATTTCACTTGGAGGTGATATTGGAGCACCAATTTGTGCTGCTGAATCTCGTCTTCCTGTTCCTAGACATTCATTAAATATCAATATTATTCTCAAGTAAATAATAAACTTTAATAATGATCTGATATAATTATTACAAATCCATATAATGATATTTGATATTTAAATTGTCTTTATAAAAAAAAGTCGATCTCGCTTAGATAAACTTTATTTTAATAGTTTCCAACGTAAAACATAATTAACATTTGCATAAAAGAATTTTTTAATTATACGTTTAAATAAAATATTTAATGGAATAGTTTCTTTTACCAAGTCTCTGCTTCAAAGTTAACTCCTCCACTTGCTCTCTCACAAGGTCATCCCAGCCATTGCCACCCTGCCAAACCAAGCCAACCTGATGGCTTAGAATTGGCAGATTACAAACAAAACAAATGGCTGTCATTGTTCTGGAAATGAAAATGAGTACTTTTAATATTTTAGTGATTGATATAAATAATACAATAAATTAAAAAAACACTTTCTATCAATAAAACAACTATTTTTAAATTTCAATATTCTCTGAGAACAATTCAGATGTGCTTGGAAATTGAATGTTATATTGAGTGACAAAGAAAGCAGGTCATGCAGGGCAGTCAAAAATCCTTGAGAAATATAAACTAGACAGTTAGAGATTTATTCAATCATGCAATAAAAAGATTGTAATTTTTTTAAGTATTCATTAAAAAATTTATCTAATAATATTTTATGTATATTTTTACAAAATAATAGAAAAAAAGGAAAGATTTATTTAAGATAAAAGTTACTAGTTATGTTTGCTATTAAAAACAATAAGAGTATAGTAAGTGAACCAACGTAGATGAAAGTTTATGCTCGCAACGTGTCACGAGAGCCCACGAGCGTCATTCCAAAGCTTGGATGCAGAAAACTCTTAGATGGGTAGATAACTACGGCGAAGAAGATACAAATTTTCAATTAGCAGAAATTGAAAAATATTGCAGCACTCTTTTCTATCTAGTTTTTTTATTAACTTTCATATTTTGATAGAAAGATGAGAAAATTGCCAAACTTTATAACTGAATATTTTTTTTATTTCGACCTGTAATGTCGAAGTCTCGGACTCGGTAACGACATCGCATGGCAAGGACCTGGTCGACCTGTAAAAGATATATTTTTTTCTGGTACAATAAATTTAACTTTCCATTTTTTCTTCATGCTTAATTTTTTCCACAAGACAAAAATTGACATTTAAAATTAGTTCAGCAAACTTTTCACGTTGAAAAAAAAACATAAAATGCCACAAAATAATTAACTTTATATAAAAATTAACATTTCATTAAGTAACATTTTTTTAAAGTTACAGTCAACTTTTCTTAATTTATATTTGTTTTATTTTTACTCAGTGTATTATAATGATGAAATTTTTCATGACAATTACAAATGAAAATTGAGCAGTGAAAAATGATATTTGAGAAAATATATGTATAAAGCTCTAAAATACGATGAATACTTATAAAACATGAAGGGGAACTTTTAATGGAAGTCTCGTGAAATTCATGAAAACACATTACTATTGACTTAATTGCATGAATATGAAAACGATGTTATTTTCTGACATTGATAGAATAAGTTTGATGTATAAATTGCTAAAAGCAACAATTAAATTCAAATGGATAAGAGTTTAAATGATAACGACTGAATCAAAATAAAATGATAAAATCGATATAAAAATTTGAAAATTCCCTGAAACTTTGTACTTTAAAACATTTTTATAAAAATCACTCGCAAGAAAAACGAGTATTTAAAAATATTATCAAAGGTTATTTTCTACTTTCAAGAATTTTTTACACTTCTTTTGAAAGTTACGGAAAAGACATATTATATAAAAAAAAAACCTTAACGAAAAATTTTTTCCAATAGAAAGATGATTAAATTTGAATAAATTTTTTTCTGCACTCAATAAATATTTTCATCGATGTAGGAAGAAGCAAATTCTTTCAAATCATCAAAATCATATGAAAATACATCTCTGTTATGTATTTTTTATCAACATAAAAATTTACATATTTCTATCTCTTCCATCACATTTGCTATTTTCGATAGCAAATAAAATATTCAAAATTAAAAATCAACTGCTCCATAAGTATTCTTACTATTGAAGCGTAAACAATGCTTCCTTTATCACAAGAATGAAAATCATAGACTAAATTAAAACAACCTATTAAAGGTATTTTTCATCAAAAAATGAAGAAAGTATTAAAAAAACACACATAATGCTTTTGTTAATTATTTGTTGGTAGATTATAGAAATTTTATTTTTAATTAATCTGCGCTGTGAAACATGTGATTAACTCGGAGTAAATTACGGTCACGTCAACAAAGATTTTTTACCCGACTCTTCTGTTATTTATTTCGATAGATGTGTAAAAAAATTCTTCATCATAGTGTTTTTGTGATGTAAAACACGATTAAATAACCACATCGAGTTATGATGATAAGTGTTAGTCATTTTCATATCAAGCAGTTTATCAGTTGTACCGTGATAATAGTAATATTGATGTGTTGCTGATGTAGATTAATAATGATAAATAGAGTAGGGAAATTCACCAAGAACATTACTCAACTGCTCAGTTATTAGATGTCATTTGTGTGGTTATAATGATTTGTACATGAAAATATATACTAGTCCATATGATTATGCGATCGTTTTGGCGTAAATAGAACGTCAATACCAGCCAGAATATGTCTGATTCACTTGAGCCTATTACTACTTGGCGATAATGTTAAATATTCCATTTAATTTGTCAACCACAAATTTTGAAAATTGTATCTAGTATACGCTCACGTGTAGCCATTATCAATAGCGTGAAATTAATATTGAAGAAAATTGTGGAAATTCTATTTATATAACTTGATAAGTTTTTCAGATGAATGATTAAAAAAAATTTCCTTTTCTACTTTAAAATTCTCTCAATGTTCAAACAGTGAGACATCAACCAATCTTATTGAGCTATCACATTTTTTGACTCTACCATTTTTTTGCGTTTATTAGGAGTAACTACTCATTTAGAGAGCTAATAAACGTCGTAGAAAAATAAAGAACTTGAAAAATTAAAAATTTTATTTTCCCAAGATGGTTTTTTTATTGTTAACACAAAGGTTTGAAAAATAAGTTGAAATAAGCAATTTTCACAGCATGGAAATTAAATTTTACACTAAAAATAAATTAAATTATTATATGAAAGACGATAGTAAATATAAAAAGTTATTTAATTCCATTGTTGAAGTAATGGATATTTTTCGAAAATAGATATGACATCAATTATTCCTAAAGTTCAGTTTTTCATCCACATTGAACAGGATTGTGTCACCAATTTTAAGGATAACATGGAACTTCAAAAATAGATTGATTACACCATATTTTTGTCAGTTATTATGGAAGAAATAAAATAAATTTTTACGAGATGTGATGTTATACATAATAAAAACTTTCCGACCCTTTTTTCGCTTGAAAAAAATATGAGCAATGAAAGTGTCTTTTTTATTTTTCACCAAGCTGGCATAAGCCATAGTGAAAAAGACATTTTCTATGCTGAAACTGTCATCAAAAATACCGAAAACTTTTTTTTTATCTTTGTGCTATTCTTTTTATTTCAGACTTTTGTTTCAATTTGTGTCATGAATCACAACTGTGGGTATAGAACAATGGTGTATTTATACACATTCATACATGGTTGGACTATCTTTCATGACCACAAAAGTAGATATTGCATTAAAGCACTGCGTGATCTGAACTATCGAATCTTTTGACCTCTAATTTATTGTTTGTTGAAATTCCATTTGCATATTAATCTCTATAATAGAATTTAACTGCACGAGAAGCTGTATCAATTGTTGATATGTACATATTTATCTTTCAAACTTACCCAATATCAAATAAAATTATCAATAAATACTTGGTTATGAAGTCAATTTGTAAATAGATTTCATTCAAAATTTATATTCTTCTTTTCAAATTTATAAAGCTTCATAAAAATATTTATCTCAGCAAAGAGGATAGGCTTAAATAAATAATACTTCATCAAGAACATAAACCAGTGCTAAAATAAGGTCTATGATGGTTATTCGATTGAATAATCTGATTTCTCTATATTTGCAGGTATATTAGATAACAAATCAATTCTCAATAATATACTTGCGATTTTTATCATCACTATGGTTATTATTAAAATCTTAATAAAAGATAAATAATTAATTTACTATTATCAAAGATAAAAAAAAGTATTCAAAATAATTGAAGCTGTTAATCAGGTGTTAGAATTTAATCACCTTTTACCTACTTTGTAAGTAATTTAAACTTCGTCGAAATTTAAAACATTTTTATGTTGCTTTTTTAATTATTTCTATCACAGTATAAATAAATTAAAAAAATACATTCTCTTTAGAATGAAGTTAGAATCTAAGTTGTTAGGATATTATATAGAATTAAATTTGGGTGACGTTATAATGTTTAATTTTGATCACTTATTTCAATAATTAAGCTTAACTTAATCAAAGCATCTTCATTTGGATACATGTGTTCTCAATAAACATGGAAACATGATGAATGATGAAAGACAATAAATGTCAGATGGAATAACGTATAATGATGAACAAGATAAAGTGAAGGTTATTAAAAAAATCAATAGATAGGATTATTAATCCAAGGTAATATTGGTCTTCCTTTTACATAGTTATAGTTATGAGTAATGAAAGTAACTTGGGAACTAAAACACCTGAGAAAAAAGGTTGATCATCAAATGAATTTGAAATTGAAGATGAGAAAATATTGGAGTAGGGAATAAAATAAATGAAGTTTGTGAAATGAGGTAATGGATTTTTTTCCCTCTATAAAAAAAATATTTTATTTAAAAACCACATTTTAAATTAATACTCTATTTCAATTTTAAAAAATTTAAATTACACAAGGATATAAAAAATAAATTAATTTAAAGCAAATAAGAAGAATGATTCTCATGAGAAGTAACCATACAAATATTTTATACATCAAGGAAAATATTTACCCGCAAAGTATTCAGGATGACCTTTCCATGATGTTTCAGGAGAATATTTTTTTGTCGAAAAAATTTCATTTATTTACAACTTGAAAGTCAATTATTTTTTATTATATCTTGTCCTTTTTTCTCATCGTTATCCGAATATAAAAATACTTTCTATTTAAAACAATCTTGCGAAAAAATAGTATAAAGTATTACATGATAAAGAAAGCCTTGAAAAAAACGAAAATAGCAAATCACGTACTTGAAATGTCGATAATACTTAAGAATAAACTGAGTGACAATAAATCGATAATGAGAGTCATTACAAATAGAAGACAAGAGTAAATTTTCAAATGTAATCAAAAGAGAAAATAGGCATCAGATTGAATACAAAAAGTAGTAAAGTTCTTGGAGACTTTAATTATCCCACTGGGAGGTTTTATACTCGTAAATGAATCGAACAATTTCTCATCATTCAGAAAAATGCCAGTTGAGAATTGATATTGGAACAGTATTTAATTGAGGATTGAGTATAAGTATTTTAAATAGAGGATCATCATAAATATTCAGTCATATTTATCCCGAAGATTCGTCAAAGGACTTGTGTTAAGTTGAGTATAGTGGAATAGAATCAGTAGGATAGAGGAATAGTAACAAACAAGTACTCTTAATGGGCTGCTTCAATTTTGTTACGCAAATATCTTCGCAACTTAGAACTAAGAGCAAAACATAAATTCTAGAGTAATCAGAGAAGAGATTTGATTCATGAGTTTATCTGTCATTAACGCAATTAAAATGAATTTTACATTTATAAAAATTAGTGTACTATTAAAGTCATTTTTAAAATTCCCCTACTTAATTAATTCCTCCTCATGTACAGCAAATTGAGTGCTTTAGGTAATTTTATTTTTCGTTGGGGAAAATAGATTGATTTAAATCTCCGATCATTTCCATTTAAATTATGGTAATTAAACTAAAAAAAATTTATTTATGAAAAAGTTTTAGCTTCTAAAGTTTTTGGTAAAAATTTGCCATATGAAAAAAATATTAAAAGTATTTCGTTAGGTCGTTTTTTACACCGAAGATGAATTATGTAAATTGAGTAATAATTATCAAAG